TACTTAAGTATTATAACTGTTAAACGTGTTCCTAGTCGAAGGGTTACGCCACCAATGAGGATATCGGCCTTTCCCATTAGAAGACTAGCACTTAGTGTATGTGTACTGCATCTCATCAGTAAACGGTATTGTGATATCGGCATGCATAAGTGGGTGCTCGTAAGTTGACGAGTTCACTGAACTCCCTCACCCTAGAAATCTCTAAGTGGTTCCCAACAATCGAGTAGAGATATCTATGGTATAGTTGTACACCATTAGTCCTTATGACCTAGACATCACCGTGACTTCACTAGAGGACCAGCTGTATCGTGACCTGTCCCTGAGTTCCACCGAGGACCATCCCAAGGGCCAGTGTTCGTGCAGTCCGAAATCTAGTGGGAGGTCTGTGCATTGTAGTCGGGGATTCAATCGCTAGAATAGTCTTGGATGTCCTGTGTGTTCTGAAAGTTTGTAATCATTCTAAGTCTCTGGCCAGAGCTGACTGAGTGATGATTAGAGAATTCGATTCTCTAAGTCATGCACGTAAGGATTACAACACTTAGAACGATCGCACTGTCATCGAACATATAAAGAGGTCTCGATGAACCAATGCCTCTAGTTCGATCGGGACATATGCATCGAAGGGACCGTACTGTACGTTAACTATATCTGAAGGTTCTTGCAGGCACTTCATTTGTATCTAGGGAATCATGACGCGTAGTTGCTAGACGCCAATCTTGATTCGTTGGGTGATTAAGGTGAAACGATCTTCATCTTAATCGTAACTCTAAGGGACGAGTTTTGACCACAAAGAGTTGTGGGCCCACGGCTAGCTTACACCTGAACCATCGAGGGTCACACTGCTCGTGCACATGAGATCTTTGAATAAACGGTCAGAGATAAAATAGTTTATCTTTGCGTAATTGGAGGTCAATACGATTGAGTCCAACATTCGTAATTTGGAATTACGAATGAGAATAAGAAAAGGAAAAGAATAGGCGAACGTGTTAGTGAACTTTCTAAATCGGGAAGTTTCCAAATTTAGAAAGTGCACTGAACTAGGGTTTCCACTTTTGGAAAGTTGGAAAATGAAAGATGGCACTCGTAATGACGAGGGAATTATAATGATTCCAAAAATGTAATCGTTGCAATTTTTCGGTCATTGAATTAAGAGAGACGAGCAAGAGAAAGTACTAACGGACTTAAGCTGTTGGGCCCGGTCCAACTTAAGCCCGCTAGGGTTTTATGCAAGGGACTATAAATACATGATTTATAGACCTTGCACAGACACATCAAACCCTAACCCTAAGCGGCCGACCCCTCTCTCTCTCGGCCTCTCTTTCCGCGGCCACCACCGCGCCGCCGTCGCCCCTCCGTCGCCGGAATCGGCCGTCCATCGGCCGTTCTCCTTTCGGTATTGTTTTTCCTTCTCTTTTCTTCCGTTTTATTCTAACTACTTCGTGTCTAGTGCCACATTGTAGTAGATCGAAGTATACGAGGTGAAATCCGAGAGGAGGAAGACTGTAGATCGAAGAATCGAGGAGCAACGCACGAGCCGAAGCCGCACGCTGCCCCACGCGCCGCCCGGAAGTTCGCGCGTGAAACTCACGCGCCGCCGTGACCTCACGCGCCGCTGCTGCCGCTGCACCGCTGCTGCCCCGATTGTACGGATTGGTTTCCGTAGCAATCTCGACGTGCTAAACGCTCCTACCTCACGCTTCAAGAGGTAAATACGCGAAACCCTAGTTTCGATTTGAGTTTCGTTTAAACCTATGTATTCATGTTTGTTTCGTATGATTTTATGTGATTATGTGTAATCGATTTAAATCATTGTGAGCATGTTATTTGGTTTAAACGCGAGCATGTTAATTTTTTTAAATTCGATTAAATAATTAGCATGTATGTTGTTGTTTAATTTCGCTGGAAGCGCAAAGGTACGCAATTAATTGATTTAATTTATCGGGCATGTGTTTATGTGATTTAAACTCATTTAATTCGCATAAAATTTTTGTTTTCCGCTGCGTATGCGTGCCTGAAACCCAACATATATATATATATATATATATATATATATATATATTCAGTGTGCACCCCTGGATTATGGGGTATGTATCAAAGACCCCCCTAAATTACAAAATGTACAAAATAGCCCCTGCGTTTTCTAGTCAAACGTTAAAAAAATATCTTTACTAGTTTTTGGGGGGAAATTACCTTTTTAAAATTATAATTTATTTTGTTCTTTTTTTGTTGCCCCAATATGAGTTCTTTGCACATCTTTTTTTCTAAAAAAATGAGTTCTTCAAAAGAAAAAACAAGCTCATGAGTAAATAAAATACTAAGTTTAGGCAATAAATTGAGTATCAAATAAATCTTAATTTTGGACAAAAAATGGAGATGATGATGAGTATGTGAGACCAATTTTATTAACTAAATGAAAATATAAATTAAATATTTTACTATATTAATAGGTTAAGAAAACATAAAATATTATGGGGCAAAATATATTTATCTTTATACATATAAATATAACAAGTAAGTGGTAAAAATGTCAAAAAAGATTAATTTGAGAAAGTCGACATGCCACGTCATAACACCAAAAACGAATTGCTCATGTTACCAAAATACTATTAAGATCACGGGCCAAATACTATAAGATTTGCTCATGTTACCAAAATAATTAAATCCATCAGTGGCTAGTCCAAGCCGTACATTTTGAGGATCTTGAGCAAACAAGGGGTACTGTTTATCAATATCCTTACAAACTTCAGAATCTGCAGGATGAATCAACGTATCATCTTCCTCAATTTTACGGTCTTTATGCCATCTCGTATCAGAGGATGTCTTCCTCGACAAATATAACCTCTGTAATCTTGGCTTAACAGGAAAATAACGCAAAATTTAGTGAGGAATTTTCTTTCCTTTACCATCATTTATTTTCCATCTAGACTCTTTGCAGATGGGACAATCATTTAAGCTTTTATATTCTTTCCAGAAGAGAACACAATCATTTTTACATGCATGAATTAACTCATAGCCCAACCTAATGCCTTTTAACATATTTCTCGCCTTGTAAAATGATGAAGGAATGATATCACCTTCAGGCAGATATTTTTTGAATAAATCAACAAGCATGTCATGGAATTTATTAGTCATTCGATTTAGGAGTTTGATGTGAAGAAATTTGACAAGGAAAGATAACAATGTTTTGGAGCAACCAGGATATAATTTGCGTTGTGCACAGCTCAATGATTTCTGAAAATTTTCCAATTCCTCATCGAAAATAATATTTGGTTGATCAAAATGGCAATCGTCTGAAGAATCGAACACATTTTCATTATAAACAAAATTATGCATACCAAAATTCAAGTCCTCTAACATCTCTTCCTCTTCAAATGTTTCATCATTCTCACGAGCAACGTCATCTTCCTTAGGGTCATCTTCTACATACTGATTAAAACTTTCACCATGGTACACCCATTCAATGTAATCAACATCTATACCATTGATCAGTAAATGCATTTTTACCAAGTAAGGTGAATGAAAAATTTGATTCAAGCATTTTCCGCACGGACAAAGCATATTATTTTTCTCTTCAATATGCTGTGAAGAAAATTGCATGAAACTTTTGACTCCATCAACATACTCCTTTGAAGTAAATTGTTTGAGTTTGATCCAACTCCTATCCATTTGTATTTTTCTGCAGTGAAATATAAAAAGTGCTTGTAAATATAATAATACAACCGATTAGTGAAGTAAGACTATAGACATCACCAACATCACATTTTGTTTCAACATCAATCAAGGATATACGCATCTTCTAATTGGAAAGCTAATATCATGAAATTGTACAAATCTTGTAGCAAAGATTCAATAGACAACTAATACTAACCCAAATAACTCAGGCCGACAAGCAGTAAGTCGGAAACAATAGAATACGACCGGCAATGCTAATTCTCCAAAATTAAAACTAAAAGATTTTCCCCAATGTTTGAACCGTAGACTTTGTGTCAATCAATTTTTGGGGAAAAAGTAGCCAGACGAAGCAACAATATCAGATCTTTGATAGTTGGTGGTGAATTCCTTTTACTTCTTGAATTTTTTCAACCGCACCACTAGTTTGTTTCATTGACGGCGACGGAAGAGAAGAAAACAAAAAAGAAAAAATAAAGATGGGAAAAGGGGCGGTGGCACGTCTTATTTCTCGTATTTTAAGTTTATTATTATTATATTATGTTTTGACGTATTTCCTAAATTTGTATGTCATAAGTTGTTTTCCGTGGCTACTGGACAGACACGCCCTATTATTTCACGATCTGGCGGATGGGGAGGATGTTAACGAAGTGGAGGTGAAACTGATGAAGATCATAGTTCGTGCCACAATATTCCAATGGCGTACAGATCCACAGAGACGGCTAATCTTATCGGCAATCGGATAGGCTTCTTTATACAGATTATGAACCCTCAGCAGCTAGATATCGCTAGCTATATGCCAATCAAAGTGGAGATCGACACATCTAAAAGTCTCAAAAGAGGCTTTTTTATCCACGATACGAACGACGCTAGGGTCTGGTTGAATTTTACCTACAAACAATTACCGAACTTCTGTTTCTTATGCGGCGTTCTTGGGCATGGAGAACAGAAGTGCCCGAGGAGATACGAGGATGAGTTTGAAGAACCTGCTGAGAACTTCCCGTATGGAACTTGGCTCTGAGCCAATCAGACCACAACAACCCAAACCGTCAGATTACCTCTCCAACCGATATTACCCGCGTCTGCTAACTTCCTGAACCATCAGCAGGGATCGACCTCACGAGGACGAGGCATTTTTGATTTTGATCAGAGAACCCCTGGGACAGCAATCCAGCAGAGCTCGAATGGTGGAAAGGAGAACAATGAGCCTACGGGGCTGATGGAATGCAGCCTGATTAATAATCCTATCCAAGTATCGCCCACAATTCCCATTGGACCGTTTCCAATAAAGAAGATAGCGGTATCAAAGAAAAATAAGGCCAAAAGAGCAAATGGAGAAGCTACTATTGGAGACACGAGAGGTGGAAAAAGACAGCACACCCATTGTTTACGCGACGAAGAAACAAGCTCAACGGCGGAGACTGCCTCGCAGTCCCGCCGATACCAATGAGTTGTCTATTTTGGAATTGTCAAGGGTTGGGGGTGCCCTTGACAATTCACTCATTCAGAGATATCCTCCGAATTCACCACCCCTCAGTGATGTTTATTTCGGAAACGAAAGCGACATCAGACTTGGTAGAGAGACTAAAGAAGAAATGGAACCTATTTGGGGTATCGGTTGACAAAAACGGACGAGCGGGAGGGCTCGCACTTTTCTGGCAAAAGAACGTGCAAGTAGACCTTATCTCTCTCTCGAATCATCACATCGATGTGGAGATCACTTATTCGGACACATTAGAGAAATGGAGGATTACAGGTATTTATGGCTATCCGGAGCACGCTCGGCGACATTTAACATGGGACCTTCTCCGTTTGTTGTCGGGACAACGAAATCTTCCATAGATTGTGGGCGATGACTTCAACGATACGCTCTCTGCGTCTGAGAAGGACGGAGGAAACCCTAGACCACTCTCAATGATATTGAGTTTCATAGAGGCTTTACAGGACTGCAAACTCACTGACTTGGGTTACTCACGATCAATTTACACATGGTCGAATAAACGAGAAACACCACTAACCGTGAGATGTAGACTCGATCGGGTGTGTGGAAATGACAACTGGCGATCCCTTTTTCCACAGGCCCAAGTTCAGCACTTGGAGTTTGGAGGGTCTGATCACGTGCCGATTTTGCTCACCCTTAAAACCCGGGACACAACTAAGAGGGAAAGGAGACGCCGACCATTTCAATTCGAGGCCATGTGGATCCGACATGAAGATTGTGTAGACATTATCCATGAGCAATGGAGTGAGCAAACGGAAACTGATCCGATCGAAGATTTGTTGACCAAAACGGAGAGCTGTCGAGCAGCGCTTATGCGGTGGAGCTGGGTTGGTATCCACAACCCTAGGAAACGCATTGCGCATATGCAGCAAAGACTTCACCTTTTGAACATGACAAGGAGCTCGACAGATGAAATTAGGGAAAGGAGAGAGTTACAGATGGAGCTCGAACATGCCTATCAGGATCTTGACACTTATTGGAAACAACGGAGCCGAGTGCAGTGGATGAGGGAAGGAGACCGGAACACGGGCTTTTTCCATGCGAAGGCCATAAATAGGAAACGGACGAACTGGGTTCACAAGCTCAAAGATGACTCGGGAGAATGGAAATAAAACAAAACCGATATTGAGCAGGTGATTGCAAAGTATTTCTCATCGATTTTTCAGTCCACCCATCCAACGGAGAGTGTGATTGAGAGAGTGCTGCAGAACATCGAGCCAAGGGTATCCAATGAGGCTAGCTAGTTACTTTCTCTACCTTTTACAGCGGACAAGGTAATACGAGCTATTTCCCAAATGTCTCCCACCAAATCCCCAAGCCCTGACGGCTTCCCGGTTTTGTTCTTTACTAAATGTTGGCATGTGCTAGGGAATAATGTGCTTAAATGTGTTCTAGATTTTCTTAATAACAAAAAGCTCCCTAGAAAACTAAACTACACCTTCATTGTTCTCATTCCTAAGGTTAAAACTCCGGAAAAAATCTCCGAGTACAGGCCGATAAGTTTGTGTAACGTTATATACAAATTTGGGTCGAAAACCATTGCTAATCGTATTAAACCCTTTCTGTTGAATATTGTCTCCCCCACCCAATTAGCCTTTGTGCCCAAGCGCCTTATCACTGATAATGTTCTTGTCGCGTATGAAGTAAACCACTATATTAAATCTAATACTAAAAAACACACAAACTTTATGGCGGCTAAGTTGGATATTAGTAAAGCGTACGATCGAATCGAATGGTCTTTCTTACGGAAAATTTTATATGGACTTGGTTTCCCTACATCTGTGACAGAGCTGATTATGCTATGTGTTTGTTCTGTGAATTATTCTTTTCTTTTCAACGGATGCCAGTTTCGATCGTTAAAGCCGAATCGAGGACTTCGACAGGGGGACCCACTCTCCCCATACCTCTTCATTTTGTGCACGGAGGCTCTCCTAGCAATGATTCGCCAGGCTGAAATTGACGGATCTCTCAAAGGAATCAAAATAGCTCCCACCGCGCCAAGTGTTTCATGCCTCTGCTTTGCGGACGACACCATCGTGTTCTGTCAGGCAACACCGGAGAGTGCTATGACCCTACACCGGATACTACAATATTATGCACTTGCTTTGGGCCAAGTTGTTAATCTTGAAAAATCCACAATGAACTTTTGCCCCATGACACCACAAGAGACGCAACACTTGAATCAATCCACCTTGGGTTTTCAAATAGTAGCGAGGCATGAAAAATATCTCGGTATGTCGTTTTCTATGGGGAAATCAAAGCAGGCCATTTTTGGGTTCCTAAGGGATCGGATTCTCGCTCGCATAGAGGGATGGGGTGAAAAACAATTATCGAAAGCAGGAAAGGAATTCCTCATCAAAGCGGCGCTCCAATCTATTCCCTCGTATCTCATGAGTCTTTTTAGTCTCCTAGTGGGTCTTATCTATGATTTGGAGAAGGCGATTCAAAGGTTTTGGTGGAGTAACGGAAAATCTCGTTCGATGTCTTGGGCACCGTGGGTCAAGATGTGTGCTCCTAAAGAAAACGGGGGCATGGGGTTTCGGCACCTTCGTTCGTTCAACCTTGCAATGCTGGCTAAAAAAGTATGGAGGATAGTTACAAATCCGGAGCTATTGTTGTCCAGGCTGCTTCGTGCAAAGTACCTCCCGTCGGGCAACTTCTGGTCAGCACCAATGGGGCTCCGCCCGTCGGCCACTTGGCGGAGCCTCCTCCTTGCTCGCCTCCACGTCAAAGATGGCCTACGGTTTCGTATTGGTAACGGTGAGCACACCTCCATCTGAGGTGATCCATGGATTAAAGAGGATGGTAACTTCTGTATAATAACACGCAGGCCGATATACTACGCTTTCCTGGACAAAGTGGAAGATCTAATTATGCCCGACTCTCGTACATGGAATTTGGAGCCATCGACGAGAAGTTTTGGCCAATCGACCGCCACAGAATACTCACGACCCCCATTGGTAGTACCCACGCAAATGACCGGCTGGTGTGGCACTATTCACGCTCCGGAGATTTCACGGTCAAATCTTGTTTCCATAACATTATGCAACGCCACAACACTGGTAGCGGAGACCATGAATACGAGAACTCTTCGCAGAGTGAAGACAAAGAGTTTTGGAAATTTATTTGGCATTTGAGTATTCCACCAAAGATCAAAATCTTCATTTGGAGAGCTGTTGGAGATCTTATCCCGGCCAACGCTGCTCTATTCCGACGACATGTTTCATCTAACCCATTTTGTGGCAGGTGTAGGATTAAACCCGAAACAACCGTTCATGCTTTGGTCCAATGTAGGAGCTTAACTAAGGTTTGGTTGGGCCAACCGTTCGAACTCAACGGGGCAATCGAGCCGGCTTCCTTCCGTCAATGGATTGAGCAAATAAGGAAAAAGCTATCGAAAGATCTTTTCTACCTAGCAATGATTCACTGCTGGAAATTTTGGGATTCAAGGAATCGCGAGGCTCATGGAGAGGTGGGATTAAGAGGTTGGGAGTTTTGTAGTTGGAGCGAAAACTACCTTTCTGTTTTCAGAGCTGCATGCCATGTCCCGCCTACGCCCAAAGATCCCGTCCCACGACGAAATTGGAGCCCACCACCGGACGGTTTCATCAAGGTAAATTTTGATGCCGCTCTACCGCCATCCCAATCTTTCTACAGAGTTAGTATGGTGGCCCGAAATTCAGAGAAGGTTGTACTTTGGTGGTGCGTTAAAAAATTCACAAAAACTGTCCAAGCGGTAGAAGGAGAAGCCCACGCAGCCCTCAAAGCGATCCAAATGGCGAAGGCTAAATGTTGGAACTCGATTATCCTCGAAGGGGATTGTCAGCAACTCATTACGGCTCTTAGGGATGAAGACGCTAGTTTAAGCCCGTTTAGAGCATATCTAGAGGACATTCAGGCTCTTATTTCATCGTTCATTTCGTGTCAATTTTCTATTATTCCTCGCACTTGTAATAATTTAGCTCATGCATTAGCAAACATTATTGAGCTCGCAACTCGGAGGGTCAGTTCCTTCCTCTAATTTTGGCTAATTTAGCCGAATAAAATTTCCTTTCTTTCCTCAAAAAAAAAAGGACAACTAATTAAATATTTTACTAATATCTCAAAACCTTCTTATTTTAATTAACTTGACACGTAGATATGATTTTTTTAATGATCTAACCAATTCATCTTTAATTTGTATGATTATTAGAATTTTGAGTGTTTATTTATTATTATAAATTGTAGTATAAAAAAGGAATTTTAGTATACATATTGATATTACATCATATATAAATATAAATATAAAAAAAACCCAAAAAAACCGAATATCGAACCGAGTTATCGGTTCGGTATTTGGCACGTAGAAATTTTTCGACTCGATTATGTTTAGGTTGGTCGGTTTACCGCCTACTCTTGATTTCAAAATGAGATGATTTTTAAAATTACTTCGTATGATGAAGCTCGTGTTCTTATTTTCTGAAGTTTTACAACATCTTAAAAATTTCAGAACTCTGGAAAATTTCAAAATTTTGAAATTTTCGAAACTTTTAATTAGAATGATTTTCTAGATTTCGGTGATCTTAGCCTCGTGATTAATGAACATAAGTAGATAGATTTCTAGATTCTGATGATTTTAGCCTCGTGATTAATGAACATAAGTAGATGGATTTCTAGATTCCGATGATTTTAGCCTCGTGACTTGGGTTGTTCATTTGGTAAAACCATACCGAAATTTCGGTACGCCAAAATTTCATACCGTTTAACGAACCGAAATATGCGGTTTGCTTCGGTAAATAACCAAATTACTGAAATTGTATTAAAATTGTGGTAAAGTTTTGAGGTTTTATTTATTTTTATAAATTGTAGTATAAAAAAGGAATTTTAGTATAAATATCAATATTACATATAAAAATATAAATATAAAATAAAAACAAAAAATCCAAATACCGAAGTGAATTAACGGTTCGATATTTGGCACGTAGCAAATTGTCGGCTCAATTATGTTTAGGTTGGTCGGTTTACCGACCGTATGAGCACGTCTACTCATGATTTCAAAAGAACATGATTTTTAGAATTAGTTAAAATCAATGAAGTTCGTGTGATTGATGCTTGTCAAAGTGTGCGTTCTTAGTTACTGAAGTTTTACAAAATAGCCGAAAAATTCTGAACTCTGGAAAATTTCATAATTAATATGATATCTGAAATTTCAAAATTTCGTATTATCCGAAACTTATAGAATTAGAATGGATTTCGATGATTTTAGCCTCGTGATTAATGAAAATAAAAAGATGGATTTCAAGATCTCGATGATTTTAGCCTCGTGATTAATGAAAACAAGTAGATGGAGTTTTAGATTCCGATGATTTTAGTCTCGTGACTTGGTTTGCTGATTTGGTGAATTAATACCGAAATTTCGGTAAGCAAAACTGTCATACCGTTTACCGAACCAAAATATGCGGTTTGCTTCGGTAAATAACCAAATTTTACTAAAACATTTAAAATCTTTGAGTTTTTATTTATTTTTATAAATTGCACGATAAAAGAAAAGGATTTTTTGTATAAATACTAATATTACATATATATATAAAAAAAAGGGAATTGTGTAGATTAAATATTAATATTTTACTTCATGTACTAACACTACAACTCAATTTTTCATTTATAATTAATGATTAATCTGTTGAGTGAGAGCAATACAATACGAATAAGTATATTATTTAATGTATCAAAATGTTAATTAATTAAGATTATACAGAGCATATGGATATAGTCCAGCCCATAAAACCAAAAAGATAAAATCTAGCCCTTATTTTTTTACCTCGTTTCTTCTTCATTTTTTATCTAAAAAGCTGGCGGCAATTGATAGAAATTGGCGGTAATGGATCACGATTATGCACGTCTTCAACCAAATCACCATCTTTCCTTATCACCTGCGATCTCCTCTGTTCTTCTCTGCTATAAAAGGTGACTTTGCTTCTCATCAATCTTTACTAAAGAAGCACATATAGATATTGTGGGTTTGTGGGTAAACTCTGACCACGAATTTCGTAGCTTCCACTGCGAGTATAATCAACTCAATCGTACTGGTAACACCTATACCTATTTATTAATTCACGCAGATAAGTGGTGAAAGGTGTTTTTTTAGATTTTTTTTTCTTTTTTCGATGTACTCGTTATTGAATATTTAAATTTTTGTACATATAAAACAAAGAGTAATTTCAATATTTACTTGAGAGAATATGAATAGGTTATTGAATATTTAAATTTTTTTACATATAAAACATAGAGTCATATCATTATTTACTTGAGAGAATATGAATAGGTTATGTTACAATTTCAATTATAACATATATGTTCCTTACAAAAATCAACATGTTCCAAATGCTTCAGATGTGTTTTATGTGTGTCATCTAAGTTATGGCTAGTTAAAAGTTAATCATAATTTCTAATAATTTCAGTACATATTTTTTAAAGATAATTATAACTAGATAAAATATATTACAAAACCAAGTTTTACAATTATTTTATCTGTTTTGATAAGATTTATAGATTTTGATCATCTACTTATATTTAAATATTAGGTTTGATAATGAGTATCAATAGTAAGCGTAAAATGGAATTGACAAGAGCATTGACAACGGCTAGTAAAAGTAGGGATTTAAAGCGTAAAATTGAGTTATCCAAGGCATTAGCAGCTGCAACAAGCGACAAATACGATGATCCAACTATGCATTCTCTGCATCAATCTTCGGGTGATAATATTGTTATTTATGTTATTTTAGATACAATAGTTTTTCTAGTTAATATAATCTAATGTGTTGTACATCGAATGTTGTAATTCTAGATAAGAGAAACAAAGCATCACTTCATGCGGCAAAAACTTCTAGAGTGTAAATGGAAGATCTTGCACAACAACATGTGCATAAAGCATCAAACGGGAATATCATAATTAACGGTAGAGGTATTATTGACTACAACTACTTTTAGTCATTTCTTGTTTATCTCACTTTCAATATTTTTTTTACAGATCTAATTGTAGATGTAGTTGAAAACACATCTAACGCCACCAATGGTAATGTTTAAATATATTTTATCTTTCTTAAAAGATTATTCCACAGTTATTAATTATTGATTTCACTAGGGGCGATAATTCCATTATTTGTGTTATTTTAGTTACAGTAGTTTTTCACTCTAATTTTTCGACTTTGAATATTGTAATTCTAGGTAAGAGAAAGAGAGTGTCACTTCATGCGCCCAAAACCACTAGAGTGCAAATGGAAGAGCTTATAGTGCAACTTGCGCCTAATGCGTTAGATGGTAAATCAGAATTAATGTTGGAGGCATGATTGGCTAAAATTAATGTTTTTTTTTTGTTTTGGGTTTATTTCACTTATTATCATATGCAATAAAAAACATTTATTTGTAGAGTCAATAGCAGATGTGGTTGATAACACTTTTGATGCCACCAACGGTAATGTTTAAACATATTATATCTTTCTTAAGATTATTCTAAAATTATTAATTATCGATTTCACTTCTCCTAGAATTTTTTACAGGATTAGTGGCTGAGAAACGAGGTTGCGGTCTTACTCGAGGGTTAAATACACAAAAGTATGTACGCAAATGTGGAGAGAAGCCAAAAATTGTGATTCCGAGAGGAGTCAACAAGCCTATTGGGGAGCACAGCTCGAAGCACGCAACTCAAATTGGGGTATTGATTAGGCTTGACGCTCCAATGCAAGTAGCGCGTTGGGCAAAAATTCCAGTTGAGGAAAAAGAAGATCTTTTCAGAAAGTTGATTATAAGTGACTCATTCGATTTTCTTCATTTGTATTTTCTATTTTAGTTCAGATGTTAACAATGCAATAATATCTAACTTGAGTATATTAAATCTCCTAAATGGTAAAGAATAAGCTCAGCTATGAAGTAGATGAACCTCATGTTGTGACTTGTATTTGGAAGTCTTTTGCTAAACAGTACTCCACGTTTCGATCCAATGCTCATAAGCATTATCAAACGATCAGAGATAAAAGTGGTGTGAGACTAGCTAGACAAAGTACTTATGAAAAACTTGCCAATCGCCGTGATGATTGGCTTTGGTTATGCGATTTCTGGGAGACAGACACATTTAATGTATACGTTTTTACTTTAATGTTGTTGATCCAAAAAGCAAGTTACCGTGTTAATTGTTTATTTAAATATTTGCAGAAAATTTCAGAGACTCAATCTAACAATAGAGATAAGCTGAAATATAGTCATAAATTGGGGACTAAATCTCGTGCTGCTCATCAACATGAGAATATTAGTCATGTATATATTTTCTTCATTGTAAATATTTAATTATAACTATAAACTTATACTTTTTTATTACTTTATAACAGAGCCTGGATGATGTTGATATGTACACGGTTCAATTCTACAATGCAAAGAATGGATGGTCCGTCAAAGATGCCGAGGCTAAAAGTGTAAGTGTAACCCAAGTTTTATTTTATTCTTTACCCATTATATGTATGTACTAAGAGTAAGTATTTTATGCACGAACTAATTCTAATATTTTTTCTTTGAAATAGGTTCAAATGAAGGAATTGAAAGAACAACAACAAGCTTTGGCAGAAGGTGAACGTATGAACGCAGTAAAGATTTGCATTACTGTCCTTGGAGAAAATTCATCATATGCAAAATCAAAAGGTCTCAACAAAAATTCATCACGTAGTAATGTTTCTTTACCTTATGAATTATCTACTAGTGGAGCACGATTAGAAGAAGAGTTAGCGACCACACAAGCAGATTTGGCAAGTGCAAAAGCTGAATTAGCTATTCAAAAGACCACAGTAGAGGCTGTGGTGAATTGTGTTGAGAAGATGACCGGTAGAATCTTTTCTGAAATAATTGATACCGAAACATTTTCTGGTAAAATGTATATTCAAATAAATTTAAACTATATTGTTTTAATCAAGAAATAATTGATGATCAAATTTTTGCACTCATTATACTTTGTGTGCTTCTTGATGCAGATTAATACCATCACATGGATACAGTTATTGGATTGAGGTATATTTAGATTAATTAGATTAATTGTTTCTAAGAGCAATATTTTATTTATGTTTTGAAGTTCATGAACTATTTAACACGAGGGAATGTTTATCCCTTGATTCGTTTTAGTTTTCACATGTTTCGTATCAACTCTTATATTTCATGCTTTAAATATGAACGATTATATTTTTTTTTCTGAATTGTTAGTGTTTAATGAGGATGATTATAATAACATGGTTCTTTATTGTTTATTATCTGATTATGTACTCATTTTCTAGCTGTTGTATATTGTCTTTTTCTTTTTCATCATTGTGGTCATACTCATTTTTTGTAACCATCAGTTGATTTTCTTAGAATTTCTTTAATGCATTTGGTTTCCCCTTTTTTATTGTGCTACTACTCAGTTTTATCTTTTTTATTATACTACTTTGTTTAATTTATTTTGATGCATTTAGGATTTGTACTACTCTGTCTTCTTCTAATTTACTACATTGTTTTCTCCTAGCTAAAAAAAAGAGAAAAATCCTAATTTAATTGTTGGTTTTGTATGACGACTTGAAAAGATAATGACAGAGGTTTCCTATTCAAAATATTATTTGCAGATTTTCTTATAAAACAAATCATGGTTGGTTGATATTCAAAAAAATATTTTATTTTCAGTTTCTTCATCAAAAGAGATGATAAAACATGAGTTAAGCTAATGTGAATGAAGTTGAAATTGGTAATATCGTTGATATAGCGAACCACGTATAATTTATAAGGTTAAAATTCTAGTTTTATTTGAAATTTAAAAAAAAAAAATCAGTTAAATAATTTTTGTAATAAAAGAACAATGACAATGTGCATTTGGTCGCTAGAAGTATTTTCTAGCAACTATGGACGAGGTGGTTGCTATGAGTACTTGATAGCAACCACACGGGTGGTTGTTATCTATTGTTCTTTAAGAGTTATAGTAACAACTGTGTAGTTTATTAATATTGGTCATTGTTACGGTTTATTTATAGCGACCATATAAAATTCTCGCTAAGGAATCCAATGTCAGTCGTTGTTCTCTTCTCCGAGGCTTGCTTAATTACAGTGACCATTTTTTACAACCCAATGCTACTTGGTCGCAAAAATATATGCGTCATTCAACATTTGCAACCAAAACACTATTGGTGGCTAAATCTATGTATTCAGTGACCATGTTTATATCGTCGCTGAGAATTTGGTCACTAAACCTATTTTTTCTTGTAGTGATAAGTGGGTGTTCATAAGTTGATGAGTTCACTGAACTCCATCAATCTAGACATCTCTAAGTGGTTCGCAATAATCGAGTAGAGGTTTCTATGATATAGTTGTACACCATTAATCCTTAAGACCCAGACATCACCGTGACTTTACTAGAGGACCAGGTGTATCGTCACCTATCCTGAGTTCCACCGAGGACCGCCCCAAGGGCTAGTGTTCGTGCAGTCCGAAATCTAGTGGGAGGTCTGTGCATTGTATTAGGGGATTCGATCGCTTGATCAGTCATGGATATCCGTTGTGTTCTTGCGAAATATAATCCATGAAGTATGTGGCCACAACTGAAAGTGTCGTGATTACATAAATTTGTTTCTCTAAGACAAACACGAATGGATTATATAATCAAGAACGTCCACACAGTTATTGAACACATAAAGAGGACTCGACGAACCAATGCCTCTAGTTGAATCTGGATATATGTATCGAAACGATCGTAGTGTACATTAACTATGTCACAAGGTTCTAGCAGGCACTTCATTTGTATCTAGTGAATCATGACGCGTAGTTGCTAGACGCCAATCTTGATTCGTTGGGTAGTTAAGTTGAAACTAGATTCATCTTAATTGTAACTCTAGGGACGAGTTTAAACAACAATAGGTTGTGGGCCCACCGCTAGCTTACACCTGAACCATCGAGGGTTACACTGCTCGTGTACTTGAGATCCTTAATGCAATGAGCTAAGATTAATTAGTTAATCTTTGTGTAATTTGAAGTCAATGTGATTGAGTCCAACATTCGTAATTGTTAATTACGGATGAGAATAAGTAGAGGAAAAGAATCCAACGGAAATTTAGTGAACTTTCTATTTTCGGAAGTTTCCCAATTTGGCAAGTCCTAAATTAGGGTTTCCAATTTCAGAAATTGGTAAATTGCAAAGTGGTACTCGTATCGACGAGAATTTGTGCTCATTGTCAAAATATAATGGTTATATTTTTCAGATCAATCGTTTGTTAGAACCGAGCCGAGAAAGAGAGTGAACTTAAGGAGTTGAGCCTAGCTCAATTTAAGGCCTGTTAGGGTTTTCACAAGTGGCATATAAATAGGATTTATATGTCTTGTCAAAGACACACTACAAAAAATGACATAACACAAACTTGAAACCCTAACTTATCTCCTCACGGTCGTCCACCTTGCAGCCGAAACCCTACCTCCGCCACCAGCTGTCGCGCCGCCGCAAGTCGCCACCGTATCGGCTTCTTCCTTTTCCCTTCGTTCTTCTTCGTTGTACTTAGCCTAGCACGTATCTAGTGTTGTATGGATAGTGGATTGAATATACGAGTTAATCGAATGGACGTGAAATTTTGACAGAAGCTTCACGACTCATAAATCTACAATCTTTACGAAGGAATTGTCCATCCAGTAAATAACCATGGTGATATTGAAGTCAGAGCAGGGCTGTAATTTCAGATCAGCAAACAGGTTGGATCAGTAGGAGTGGGAAGAGCAGCTAGCCATCTTCTCGAGTCTTCGTTCGATTCACGCTTCAAGGGTAACATATTGTTTTTCCTTATTAATACACATGTATTAATTAATTTATATTAATTGAGATTAATGTATGTTAATTGATTATTGATCATATGAATCTATATGTTGGATTATGAGTTTATGTAAATCGTTCGTTGAGCATGTTTATTATTTGTTTTAATTTCGCGTGCATGCTATGATGATTTAATTTATGTTATTTAAATTATTTATATATGCGAACATGTTTGTCGGTGATTGGAAGCGAAAAGGTACGGAATTAATTGTAATCTATTGTGCACATGCTTGTTTATATAAATTAGTTTATATATAGTAAAATAAAATTTTTGTTTTCCGCCGGTACACGTGCTTGATCTTCAACAGTGGTATCAGAGCTACGGTTGCGCAATTAAGCGCAATTAATTGCCTACGTGTTTATTGCTTTCGATTGCATGTGAATAGTTTATTGAATTGATTGAATTGGTGAAATTGAAATTGGATTGGTTTAATTTTCATTTGATTTTAAAATTGGATTTGATCGATGTTAAAATTAGAATTAGAAAATTGGATTTGATTTTAAACTTGGATTTGATCGATTATAAAATTGGAATTAGAAAATTAGATTTAATAGTAAAACTGTATTTGATCAATTTTGAAATTGGAATTAGAAAATTGAATTTTCATTTTAAAATTGGATTTTGATCGATTTTAAAATTGGAAATGGATATTGGATTTACAATTAAAATGGAATTTGAGAGTTTTAAATTCCAAAATGATTTTCTAAAAACTATTTGGGCCGGAAAGCTCGGTCATGCTGGTTCAACCGGTCCGACCGGGTCTAGCCGGTTCAGACATCCATAAATAAATAAATAATTAATTCTTTTTTCCAGAAATTAAAATTAAATCAAAATTGATTTTTATTTTTTTGAAATTAATTATCAATTAAATCCAAATCCATATATTCGATCCATTAGTCAATGTTGTTCGATAAATGAGTGTTTGATTAATTAATTAATTTAAACATTAAATTAGTTTCATTAATAGAACACATGTATAATAGTGATTATACTTCAACTTAATTAATTGTATCTTAATCTTATTTGATTGATTTATGTTGATTAAGGTCCTTTAGTTATTTTGAAACAAATCTTCATAATTAATTATTGTAATTAATTATAGTTTAGGTCGAATGTTCCTCTTAGAACAATATGAGTTTCCATGTACCTTTAGAGAACATAGTTGTAGGAATCCAATCGACCTGTCCAATAATTCTAATGAGATAACAACAAAACAATAATAAATCATTTATTCTTAATTAATTTCAAGCTATAAAGAAAAACCAATTTGTTGAATTTTTCTTTCCTTCTACAACGGTTAAATTATGTGTAGCCCCTTGCAATAGTGCAGTAAGTTGTGTTAGCGGGAAGCGCTATAGTAGAGTAAGTTGTAATTTAATTGAAATAATGATAAAGGTAGCCATAGAAACGGTTATGCTAGATTAATGTGGTCGGCTCTATTAACTAGGGGCTACATTAGTTTGGTACAATTAGTTCTATGAGCATCTTTGCTTGGTAGATTAGACTTGACACACGAAAATTTTGAATTCGCGAGATTAACTTAGGTCATTATCAAGTGTGAGGAAAATATATCTTTAGGGTCATATAACGATATGATGTATGGAGATCTACCTATGGACTAATGTAATCGGGCTAGATTAACTACGCGTTACATTTGCCTACTGGACCTAAAGCCCATTAAAAGAAAAATAAGTTTTCTCGTTTGTCTGCTAGAGGGTAGTGGAATTCGATAAAATATAGTGGGAGTACAATTAAATGATTAAATTTCAAATCTTTAATTGCAATCATTAATAATGAATTATCTTTTATGTAAGTCTACTTAAAGCTTTTTCAGTTTAAATGCTATGAATCCCTCATCGTCAATTCTCGACACCAATAAAACTTAATGGCAATAATTACCTTGATTGGCTCAATAAACATTCGTTTCGTGCTTTTGCTCCAAGATCAATTGTGCATACTCAATTATACCCCGACCAAACTTCATGATAACTCAACTCAGTAGGAGACGACCACTTATTAGAAGTGAAAGATGGGTGTCCGTATTGGCGAAGTGTTATATGATGGCACCTAGTCTCCCAAGTTAGCGATGAATTATGAGAATGACCTTTATGTTGTTGACACAAAGTCTCACCTCGAGATCGTGTGTGTTGAGAGCATTATGACAATGAGGTTTGTGATGACTAAGGAGTTGATGTCTCTTACGCTACGCGAAAGGACTCCGATCCATGAGCATGGTATAAGATGACTCGCTCCCAAAGAAGTTACATGAACACGATGCCGTTCTCCCACCAAAGTTCTCGGTGAATCTCATGCTTCCATCACTAACTACCTCTTATGAAACGTTCATAATTAATTTCAATGAGAATATGGTTGA